AGGGATATAACCCTGAAGTGTCACCGTTGTTTAGGGTGTTCTGTGGTGTGGATCTCCCGCAGCTCTCATGGGGTCCCCTGTGGAGCTTTTGGGACTTGGGTTTTGCCTCCCACTGGAGCAGAAGCTCTCTGGGCTGTGATGCTGTAGGTGGTGTTGGAGAGGGGACACTGGAGATGCTCCAAAGGAGAGTCCTTGGGTTTACTCCAGTCTCCCAACTCCAGGTGATGGCACAGAAAAGGATGCAGGGTAAGTGTTTTTCAGTCCCCAGTGTTTTGTGGGGTAGGGGACCCCTCTGGGTCTCCTGGGAGCCCTGCTGAGCAACCTGGGCACCAATTCCACCTCTGGCAGTGCTGTAGGGCATTGTCCCCCTGCCCATCCCACCCATGCTGTGTGCACTGGGGAGGGTGCCATGGCACTGTGGAAGTGTTGGCAGGGCTAACAATGCTCTTGTTTTGACGCGGCCACCTCTGGCACACCATGCTGGGCAAGCCACTCTCCTCATTCCTCTGCTGCCAGATGTGTCAAAAGCAAGGATAACCATTAACCCTTTCCTCTTTAGCCATCACCTGGGTGGGTGGCCCTTCCCACTTTCTGTTTGCTCTCTTGCCTGGCTGCTGTTTGATCTCTTGAGATGCCAGCGACTTTACAGTCTGCTGTAGTGGCGCGGGAGATAACCCACGTTTCCTAAATGGGCTTCTGTCAACAGCGGGCTGTGCATGCACAGTCTGCTCCTGTGGCCCAGGGGCTGACAGGGCTGTGGCAGGGACCCCCTGTGCCTATCCCATGGCTCAGAGCAGGAAAGCCCTGCCCGTGACGCACTGCTGGCTCCCTGCACACTCAGCGCTGGCAGTGCCTGTGTTGCTGCGGTGCCTGGCATGCTGCCGCTCCCCGCCGCGCCGGCCCTCCCACCGGAGCATCAGTAAAAAGAGTTTCCTGGGGAATATCCCACATTTGCAAGAAATATTGGCTGTAAAAATTAAGCTGATCTGTTGGCGACGCCTCTCAAAATAAGTCAGCACGGGTGCAAATGCCAAAACTGCCTGGAAAAGGGGAAAACCAAGAGGAATTACTCTGTCTCCTATGGCATTTTCTCTTACTTATCTGTAAAAGTCTGGGGCAGGAACTGCCTTGCTATTAATTATTGTTTGGCCAAGAAACAAGAAATGGGATTAACTGGTGACTTGAATAAACTACTCTGGGAGGCAAGCTAAAAGTAATTTCAACTAATGCCACATGCTTCTTTGGTACTTTGGTGGTGACTTTTTCTGAGGAAGGACTTTGGAGCCCATGTGTTTTGACCCAATAGGTGCCATTAATAAACCTGCTGCCTTGCCAGCAGACAAGCAGATGGGGCCCAGGCAGCAGCCCAAAATGTGCTCTGGAAACCAGGGCAGGGATTCTTGGTAAAAGGGGGAAGATCTGAATTGTTGTTGTTCCACTGGATTACTGAAATAATTTATTGCAATGCTCCACCCTTATAATTAAAGTGCGGTGATGAAAGCAACTGGTAGAGTAGCTTTGGATTCAGAAGCGGCATGTGCGTGTGGTGTGTGTGCACACCTCACCTTTGGTGTTTATATTTGTTTTTTTTTAAATTGACTCCTTGCTTCTGAATAGAGCAGGCAACAGCCTCAGTTCTTAGAAAGGTATCTGGAGATGGACAGCTCCAGAGAGCAGGGAGACAGGCTCCAAGAGATAAGGGACATTGCTTCTCGAGCGCAACAGCAGCAGGGCCATTCCTAGTACTGGTTGGATGGGGGCCAAACGGAGAAGATCTTGCTGTGTGAGCCGGACAGGGAGGCAGGGAGCCCCCGGGGAGGCCTGCCCAGTGCTCTGGGTCTCTGTGCCATCACCCAACTCGCTAGAATAGGGTGGGTGACTTGAGTGTCTCCTTCAAAGCAGGATAACCGCTTTGTATCCTTGTGTCCCCTGCCGTGGGAAGCCTTCAGGACAGCGCTGTCCCAGGGGCTGCTCAGGGTGGGCAGGGTGGGACAGCCGACCCATGTCCCTGTGCCAGGGCGGTCGGAGATTCAGCTACAGCACTGGTCCGTAGGGAGGGCAGACAAACGTGTTGTGGGGGCTGTGGGGCGAGATGAGGCAATGTCGGCAGGGTGCCAGCCCCCGGCAGGGTCGAGGAGCAGTTATCTCGGCTCGCACACGCACCCTGCACGCAGCCAGATGCGAGCTGGTACGCTCTGTGCTGCTGATTGCCTCACCGACAGCAGCGGCGCGGGAGGACGCGGCTTCACGGGTGCGCTTACATGAAACGATTCGCGCGGGGGTGTGGGGACACCGGGGTTATCTGGTTCATCTCCTATGGAGGCACAAGCACACCTTTTTGGGACTGCCGCTTTGCCCCCTGACGCTCTCGGGGTCCCCGTGGAGAGTGTTGTGCCCGGCACAGTGGCTGAAATGCTTTTGCCTGTATGTACTCCTGCGCCAGGGTGCCTGTGACAGAGCCATTGCCATTGCCCCTGCTCCACTCGGGACAGGGTGCCGGGGCATCTCCGGCTCTACCACCTACAGCCCCCCGCCCCGCTCGTAGTGTG